CAGGCCAATAGCTCCAGGCGAAGCCAGAAACAAGGGCTTGTGATGGTTCGTGCTTTCTGGAAGGGTACGCTTCTTGAGGTCGCTGTGAAGGCCTTTCAGGAAAACCGCTTTTTAGGGCTTTTAGGGTTCTCGTGTTTGCTTTGAACCGCCCCCCCCCCCCACAAAAAAAAGAAAAGAAGAGAAGACCCACGGGAGGCTGGAGTCCTGCACGGTCTTCATGACAATGTCCAGCTCCATGTAGTCAAGGGAGCCATCGCCATCCGCGTCGATGAGCTTAAAGAGCTGCTCCACTTCCTGGCCGAAACGGGGCGATGCGGCTTGCCACTGGAAGGGTTCAGCCAACCCCCCACCCCCCCCGCGTGCCATGGACACCCAGAGTCTATTTTGCAACCATACCCTAAAACCAATACCCTAAAAGAAGAAGGTTGCAAAATAGACCCTAAGTGTCCACCATACCCCCCCCCCAACCCCCCTCCCCCCCCAGGCTGCCCTTCCTCCAGACTCGGCGCGGGGCTGGTGACGGAGGTGCGCAAGCTTCCCTCCAGGCTCATGAAGCTGATGCCTGAACGCTTTTCCCGGAGGGCGCATGGCAAAAGATGTGGCAAGGTACTTCAAGGCATGCTTGAGTGGTACTGGAGTGCATGTTTGAAGGGAAGAGGGGGTGGAACTCGCCGAGCTGCGCGGCTTCGGAAATGCCCTTTTCAGCCGACAAACGCAAGTACGCAAAAGTCTGGCTCAGCATCTGGCACGCTGTTCGTGCCAGAGCCTTGCGCAACGCATTCTGCGAGTCAACGATGACTTATCGGGACGTCAGATAACGGCACCTCTGCATGAGGTCTCTCAAGCCGCTGAAGATTCCATACAGTGGAAAGGAGAAATCTGCCTTCTAGGCTACAGTCCACCCCTACATAGCTCCGCTCTGCAAGGTTACTTCCCCACACGCGCCAGCCTCAGGCCAGATTTGTTCATGTTCTCTGCTGATCAAGAAAATGGTCCAATGTCAGGACCATTCCTTCCAAAAGGCCTGGAGCTGTGGAACAGCGGTGCTATGGCAAAGACTGGAAAGTGTTGAGCAAGGTGTACATCAACCCGTCTTGACACCGTAGCTGCATTTGCTACAGCTTGGACAAGCGGGAAAAAAAAGTTCCAGGGGATGTTCTTTCAGAAGCTCCCCTGTCTTGCAAGTTGGCCTAGACGCGCCCGCAGTAGCTATGAAACCCGCTACCACAAAGAAATGGTGCCTTGCTACGGCTCGTCTGAAAACGGGGCTGGCGGCACAAACGCTTCAGGAAACCTCGTTCATGCCATTGCCCGCCCCCATTGTCGCAGCCCATTTCGGCTCTCTGCCCGTTAGAGCATTGCTTGCGGAAGATGCCAAACGGGCTGGGCTTCAGGCGGCTTCCATTCAAGCTGAAACACACTGTGCAGCAAAGTGCTTTCCCAATATCAACAAGCAAAACCGCCCGAAATGGCCCGATTTTGTGAAAGGCCTCGCTTGCGTCATCCAGCACTCACTGCCCGAGTGGATTCACCAAACAAAGTCTAGACTTGTCTGCCGCCAATATGGGCTTGCCATCAGTCGTTTTGACAGGTCACAAAACACAAAATCCTGGACGAGGAGTGAGCCCATTTAAGTAGGCCGATAGGCCCCGCTACTCGCTTCAGCCGCGCTCTCCCCGGCCCGTGGTGCGGCGCTCGCCGCCTGAAGCGCCAACAGCCTTGGATCCGGACTCCACCGTCTGCAGCACCTTGTCGACGCCTGGGGGCGTAGGTGCCGTCAACAGGTTCGGATTTAAACAGAGCCCCTTGAAGGATACATGTGGACCAAATAAGTCACGCTGCTGATTTACAGCCCCTGCAATGCAAGTGGCTTTTTAAGGATCCTTTGTCAAGGGGGAACACATGACCCCAAGATGGAGAAAGGAATGCTCAATGTCCATGCTGGACATCTATAGTGAGTCTACATCAAGCCGCGCAAATTGCAGCTACTTGGGCAAGTTACACATGAGCAACTAATCCCCTATCCTAATGCCACTTAGGAGAGCTACTGTACTGGAAGCACAATCATGTTTCTTTCGTTCTTGGGAAGTCTTGGTTTTCCGACCCAAAAATAGTGACCTCCATCTTCGCATTGGGCCGAACAATCTCATTTGCCTGTATAGCAGGTAAATAGTAGGGAACCACCCAACAAAACTTCAGACCAAAAAATGCAAACGGAACCGCAGCATCCGCGGGGTTTGTCTCCGCCTGTCTCCAGGCGCGTCATGTTGGTGGCCACCACTTCCGCCAATTCCGTGACCTTCTCCGTGAGCGAGCCAGACATCTGAACCTCCCGAAGTTCTGTAGGGGTGTGGAGACCCAGGTGCACAAACACAATGTTCACAGTCCGTTTCGTATTCAGTCAACTTCAAATAGAAGAGATCTCAGTTTGGCGTGTTTTTACAAAGAGGTCCAAAGCGAACCGTCCCCTTTTCGGGTGGAATCACGGCCAACCCCTGGCCTCCGGGACACCAAAAGGGGTTCATTTTGGTTCATCGGCATGGCCAGGGCCAGGATCGGTAGGCCAAAGGGTTCTCTCGTTTCATCTCGCGATTGTCTCAAAATCCAGGGCCCTCAAGATGGGTGATTTTTCCTTTGGCCTCCCTTTGATCCGACCTCAACATGCCGCTCCCAACTAATGCAGTCACTCTACAGGACATTTGGGCATCTTGGTTGTTTCTGGGATCCTCACATGCCTTAGGGTTCCTGCTGGCATTGACCCATGGATTTCGAAGCCCACCTGGACATCCTTGAAGGAGGACAGCTCGCCCCGCACGGCCTCCCCCACCTGCATCAGAGACTCCTGAAAGTTGTGGCCATCTTTGCTTTGCGAGCAGGGGTCCTGGATTCGCCTGTGTAGTTTACCCTCCCAGCATCTATGGAAACCACCACAGGCTCTCTTTTAAAGAAAAATTGTCTTTCGGGACCCCGGTCCGTCAGGCTCCATGGGCGGAGGTAGATTCTCCAATGGGGCTCCGTAAGAGAAAGTTTCTGAGGTCGGGGTTGACTAGCCATCAAATCTGTGTTTGCTCTTCTCATGGCCTAGCACAGCCTGAGTACCTTCCCTTTGCAAACAGGGGCGCGAAGCCATAACAAGCAACATATATCCGTCCGATACTCCGTTGCCCCGCAACCCAAAACAACCAATATCTTTGATGTTGGTCCGGATTTAGTGAACCTAAAATGTACAACATCCAAAAGAGGCACAGTCGCCTGTGCTGGGCAAATTGTGAGGGAACCTTCATCACGGCGCCGCAACCCCCCGAAAACGCGACGTCCTTGGAACTTGCCAGAAGGATGTGACACACCCAGTGGCCTGTGCGAACTCCTAAGTTTCCGCAACAGATCCTGGAAACGGAGGCCCCACGCAACAAAACCCAGCAGCCACTCCTGGGCCACTTCCCGGTGCTGCTGGGACATGGCCAGCGCCACTGCCGCCAGCTCACGGCGGATCATCTCCTGACGCGTCCCTTGGGAAGGAGTTCAACGGAGCGAGGCATCTAATGAGTTCTATCCTGTTATGCGTCTTGTATATGATTTTTTTTTTAAATTATGTTTAAAAAAAATGGATTTCAGAAAGAAGACCTCCTTGAGTTTGAAGGGTCCCCGTGAACAACCTGAGGAGGTCTGGGCCGTGCCCTTTTTTTGGTTAAACAAGCTGCTTCTTGAAGGATCGGCAAGTGAAACAGTGAGAAAAATTGGGACCCTCCCTGCTTGGCTTCGGTTTGTCCGTTTCCTAAATTCAACAGGGTTCCGAGCCATTTTTGCCCGAAAGCATTGGGCTCTTCCGGTAAAATCGCCAGCCTTGTCGCACAGCCAATTAGCACACAGAGAGTGCAAAGAGTACATGCAAACCAAGAAGCACCAGAGCGCACGCAAAGCAAGTTCTCGCGCTGCAATCTGCAATAGACAACGCAAGCAGCACATTGCACGAGAGCAAGTCGCGCGCGCGCGCGCCAACTTGCACAAAGCTTGCAGGAGAACCTTGCACGAAAGGGTTCGTGCGAGACGTCCTGCACGAGAAATGTGGGCCCAAATCATTAAACTTAATCCTTTTGTGCACTTTGCAAAAATGACAGCCTTTGCTGGAATCTGCGGTCGATGTGCAAACCTGGAGAACTTCTGCGACTTTTTGCGTTGCAAATGGACCCTCTGCGCGGGCCGGCGTGGTCGATGTACGATAACGATGTGCGACACGCACAGTGCGCGAAGTGTAGCTCCAGTTCGAGAAGCGGAGCTTTGCAACGCAGAATGGCACAGCTTCCGCTCAACCTGGAAACTGCTTGCTCCAGACGTAGTGCGCGAATCGTGCCCTTGCAGCTCCTGCCTGACAATCGCATCGTGTTAGTGCCAAAGTAGCATGCGAAGTGCACTCTCGCAGCTCTAGGCCGAAAATCGCAGCCTTCGCAGTACAAGTTAGTATGCGAACTAAGCTCAGCTAGCAAGACGCAACACTGAAGCACTAGGCACAAAAGGGACATACATAAACACGTGTACGGCCAAGATTGTAGGGGACAAAAGCTTTCGTACAAGCTCTTGTGAACAAACATTGAACAAACAACATGTTCTAGGGCTCAGCATGCAAGCTAAGAAACTAAGACGCATGTTAATTGGTGGAGGTTGAGCGAAGTGTTTGGGAGTTTTTGGCACTCTTTGTAGCTTTGCAGACATTGCATGTTTATGCCTCGCGACGTGCGCAAGCCTGTCGTGCACGAAATCCAGAGAACATGGACATCGCATGCCACCCTCACACACACCCGTTCTATACCCCGAGGCTTAAAGCCCCACCGGTTCCCCTTGGGCTTGAGCCGTTTGAGTCGTCCAGTGGAAGCCGGCCGCTCCTCCATGTCTGGGCTGGAGGCTCCAACGCCGGCCTGGCCCTGAGTGGAGGCCAACTCCAGGCGTCGGGCGCCGTCCTCGAGGCGCTCCACCATGGCATGCACCGCCTCCTTCAGATTGGCCTGAGGAAAACGAAACGGGTGGGTTGCCGGTGCTTTAGTTGTGGATTGGTTTGATCAGTTGGTTTGGTGTGATCTGTTGGATTTGGTTGGCTTTGGTTGGCTGATTTGGCTGGCCTGGCAAAAAAACTTGGAGTTGGATGGGTGGATGGGTGGATGGGTGGATGGGTGGATGGGTGGATGGGTGGTGGGGTGGGGTGGGGTGGGGTGGGGTGGGGTGGGGTGGGGTGGGGTGGGGTGGGGTGGGGTGGGGTGGGGTGGGGTGAGGTAAATTGGGGTGGGGTGGGGGTGGGGGTGGGGGTGGGGGTGGGGGTGGGGGTGGGTGGGGGTGGGGTGGGGTGGGGGTGGGGGAAAAAATGTAGAAAAGGCTGGTCCTAAGGGGAAAATGTCAAATGTTGGGGGTTTTCTTGGAGAATTGTTTTTCAACAGTTTAACCATCTTATTCGTTTTCACTACCCATGTTTCATGCCATGTTTCATTTTGTCTTTCTCGGGGTGATGGTTTATTTCGTTTTGAAAGAGGTTTGAATTTTTAGTAGTTTCATCGATTGGGGTGTTGGCGGGTCTTCTGTTTTCCTATTCTTTGTTTATGTCGTATTCAAAATCTGATGAGGTTTCAATGTAATCTCTTATCTCTTCCTGTGTTGTTTGCTGTTTGTATTGTTTTGTCGCTTCTTCAGTCTTTGGTGGTTTTGGATTCTTAACATTGTTGATGTGTTTTTTGGTTCTTTCGTGTTTTGCTTTCTGACTAAGTGAGACCGTACACCTACAATATTGGCATTCAATTTTTCGTAGGTTGTATTCTTTACTGTGTTCTTTCTGGTATTGCTGTTTGTGTTCTTTATTATTTTCATAATATTCCTTCGCTTTTTGGCTAAGTGTTTCTTTATTTCTTTCTCTGTATCTCTGTTTGCTTCGAGACATATATTACATTGTTTCCTTTCTTCTTTGAACCTTTCTAGCGGTTGAATGACTTTACATTTTGAACACTGCTTTTTGTCAGTCATATATCCTTAAATATTAAGGGGTCTAGTCTTTAAATTAATTCAGGGGTATTTATAGATTAAAAGTTCACTATAATTATAACATATAAGAATATAAATGATATAATTATGGTTTAGTTTTGAATTATACAGGTTCATCAACAATTAGCTTAAACTTTATGCTTTTGACTCCTCCAAACTCCGTTCTACTTCTTTCTTCATCAATACAACTGTTTATTTCTTGATACGACGCCATCATTACATCGGCTATATTATCTATGGTTATATTATCTACAACATCATCACTATGAACACATAAATAACGAAAGCATTGCAATACTCCACCCAAATCAAAGCAAACACCCACACTTGCAGAGCAAAAACCCACACCACACAGAGCAAAAAACCACACCACGCAGAGCAAAAACCCACACCACGCAGAGCAAACACCCACACCACGCAGAGCAAACACCCACACCACGCAGAGCAAAAACCCACACCACGCAGAGCAAACACCCACACCACGCAGAGCAAAAACCCGCACAACCCACCTGAATTGACCATTTCAACAGTCCTCTCCATGTAGAGCTGAAAACAACAAAACAAACCAGTGCGAACTTTGCAACGAACCAGTGCGAGCTTTGCAACGAACCAGTGCGAGCTTTGCAACGAACCAGTGCGAACTTTGCAACATTGCCTTTGCCACTAAATAATTCTACTAATTTCATATTATTAGAAGTATTTAGATAGATATTTATTTTAATTATCTTCATTATGTTAACTGCTATTTGATTTATATGATTGACACATCTTAGTCTTTTGATGTCTGCTTAATTTGCTTTTGCGACCTACTGCTCCACAGACTTCGCACACTACATTCTGCTTGTTTTGTTCAAGAATTTGTTCTCTATTCATTTGGTAATACTCTTTTCTATGTTGTTTATGTTCTTCTTTATTGTTTTGATACCATTCTTTCATTCCGTTCTTTATTTTCTCTTGGTTAAGTGGATTATACATTGCTTTGTATTCTTTTGGTGTTCTACCTGCCACACAACGATTGACACATTCTGTATTTTGGATATGATAACCTTCTCGTCTAAGTAGTTGCTCTTTACTATCACACGGGTAGTGTTCAATGAGTTCTATCTTACAATTCTCAACCCCGTATTCGTCAAACAACACTCTAGAATTTGAATGTTTGTTTCGCCCGTGCCTTTCATTGAAATAATATTTCTGCCTATGTCTTGCCATCCTTTGGCTTAGTTCCTCACACGTGCTTCCTACATAGCACTTTTCATAACCAACATCAACTATTTTGTAAATTTTACCGTTCTTATATCTTTCCATATCTGTTAATATCTTTAATCATCTTTTATTTAATTCATTTTATCCTATAATGTCCATAGGGAATTGAGTTGAAAGCGTCAAAATAATGTCTTTCATTCTCAAAATTACTCAGAGATTGCTTAACCTGAGACATCGAATAAATCTGATGAGTGCGACTTCTAATAAAGTTGTAGGATATTTCATTTTTTTTGTTTTGATAAAGTGATTCCTCATAGTTTTGATATGTTAATTCCTCTTTAACCTTATGTTTAACAACACCTTTAGATTTCTTATGTTCTTCTTCTTCACCGTGGATTGTGAAAGCGTATGACTTTGGCTTGAGTGCTATAAACTTTGTAATTATCTTTGAAGAGCATTCATCTTTGTACATTCCTAAGACCTTCTTATTTGTTTTGTCGTGGCATGGATGTTCAACAGGATAATCGCTAAAATCCATATGCTGCTTGATACCTTGAAAATCCTTGTAGATATCATCCGTGAAGGTTTGAATTACATAACTGTCAGTATCTGTATATATCAATTTGATATTTTCGTTGTATTTGTTTTTCAACACACCATAGTAAAACTCATACATATGTAATTTACTCAAATCCAATATTGTCATTCCTAAGAATATAGGTTTATCAAGTTTCAAGACCGACTTTGTCTTTTCCACTCCTACAAGATTTTCATTTATGATAAATCTATTTTTGAAAGTAGGATTATTCACGCACTTTTCATATCTAACATCATTATCTACCAATTCAAAATCCATATGTTTTCTTTTGTCCTCCATCGTTTTTCCATACACCGCGTTATTCATTAATTTGAACAGGTCTTTCTCAAAGTCGCTCTTCGCTTCTTTCCTTTTGCCAGTGTTGAAGTCAATCCACGGTTTCAACCAAGCCCTCTGTTGAAATTTGATTATCCTATGAACCTTGGTGAGTTTCATACCCATTTTTAGATAATACTGTAAAGTCTTGATATGAACAACATATTTTTCTTTATCTTTCAAATTTAATATTAACTTGCTGGTTTTCTCATCCTTCGGTTCTTTGTTTCCATAGTAGATTTTGTAGATTTCCTTTTGATAGTCTGACAACATATTAGCATTGACATTCATTATTTCCGGTGCTAGTGGATAGTCCGAATGGTAGTCGTGTAGTGTTTCTGGATAATCCAAATCAACTTCCATAATATAACCATACTCATCTTTTTCATCCCACTTTTCAATGTTAGGTGTTTTCTTTGTCCATTTGATGTTCTTTAAAGGCAATTTTTGAGACATCGCCAGACCATACAGATTGTTAGCATCTAAGTAATTGATATAACTTGACGGTTTACTTTCATCAAAGGCTTCATCCATATACTTATTGTTTGCCTCAGCCAGTTTATGACTGACCTGACACATGCCTCCTCTCATTCCCTGTTCAACCATCTCATACATTTCTTTATCGTGCAACTGCTCAATTTCAACACCAGTTTTCAACAACATAGCTTCCCAAGCGAAGTTAGGAAGTGTATAATAGTGTGCGGGGTCCAAACCGTAGTATTCCATACATAAGTCTCTAAAGTTTTCAAAAACATCAGTCAATAATAAAACATCGGTTCTCAAATACAAATCGTGATATTGTCCTAATGTTCTGATACCGAAGTGTTTCCAAACCTTTTGTGCCCTTTCATAATCTTTGTCGTTGACATGTTCCTCACTTAATTTACTGTAGAACGCTTCTTTTGGCGGTAAGTTTCTTTCAGTAAATCTGTCAAAACTATCAAAATAGTCATAAGGATAAATCCCCTTATCAGTCAACAAGTCCAAATCTTCATCGGTTTTAACATATGGATTTCTAACACTGTATCTAAAATTGTTCTTCCAGTTCTCACGCCTTTTATCATCTTCATACTTACTCAACTTTACCAACTTATCCAACGAAGACGATAAGAAGCTAAAACTGTCCTTGAAACAAAGGTTTTTAAAACCAAAGGTTATGAACTTCTCGCTGTTCTGCGCGATACAATCGATTTTAGCATTCTTGCTCAGTTCGTGTGCCTTGTTGATGATTAAGTGAGCGTCATAGTTTTTCAGGTTGTGAAGAAAGACTGGTATTTTATAATATCTCATACTAAAAGCAAGATTGCAATCATCATGAGCACAACCTCTATATTTACCAGTAAAATGGCAATGGTCACGAACCTTCTTATCTCCTTCCTGAAAGCCCTTTCCACAAACGAAACACTTAGTAGCAGTGTCAAAATCTGTTTTGTCGTCCTCAGTCATGATTATCTCTTTCAAGTCCTTCATTTTCTTTATTACATCATCTCTGACTTCATTCATTTTCTCAACGAACTTATCCATACAATCTTCGCCTCTGTATAAATAGGGCTCACTGCTTCCAGTGATGGCATTGACTACATTAATCACAAAACCACAAGGGCAATGATTTTGATATGATGTTGTTGTCGCTTTTGTCGATTTGCTTTTAACATCAATGGGTACTGTTAGACATTCAAAGTCTGCATATATGACATAAGGCGCTTTCAGTTTCTTAAAATGGTTCTTAAATTCAATGGTAGCTCCTACCTCTGGCATTTCTATTTGTTGTCCTTCAACCGCTAGACAACCCTGTTCTTCGTGTTGTTTTAATAACTCTTCTGACTTGAAACCGTGTGAGCATGTCCTACAATGATGTTTTTT